GAGCCAGCCGGACAGGGGGCCGAGCCAGCCGGACAGGTGGGGGCGAGCCAGCCGTACAGGAGGCCGAGCCAGCCGGGCAGGTGCGGGCGAGCCAGTCGGACAGGTTGGAGAGAGGCAGCCGGACAGGGGGCCGAGGCAGCCGGACAGGTGGGGGGGGAGCCAGTCGGGCAGGGGAGCTGAGCCAGCCGGACAGGGGGCCGAGCCAGCCGGACAGGTGGGGGCGAGCCAGCCGGACAGGGGGCCGAGCCAGCCGGACAGGTGCGGGCGAGCCAGTCGGACAGGTGGGGGAGGGCCAGCCGGACAGGGGGCCGAGCCAGCCGGACAGGTGGGGGCGAGCCAGCCGGACAGGAGGCCGAGCCAGCCGGACAGGTGCGGGCGAGCCAGTCGGACAGGTGGGGGAGGGCCAGCCGGACAGGGGGCCGAGGCAGCCGGACAGGTGGGGGAGAGCCAGCCGGACAGGCAGGGGCGAGCCAGCCGGACGGGTGGGGGTGAGCCAGCCGGACAGGTGGGGGTGAGCCAGCCGGACAGGTGGGGGTGAGCTAGTCGGACAGGCAGGGGCGAGCCAGCCGGGCCGGCCTTGAGCCTGGCGTGGACTGTAAGGCCTCCCGAGTCAGGCGGCTCGAGAGAGAACTGGCACAGCTCGGGGTGTAGGTGAGGGAGTGTTGGCCGCGAATGAGCGAGTTTGTTAAGTAGCGCGGATAAAAAGAGCGTCCAACACAGTAACATTTCCTGTAAAGCGAAGGAACCTACGAATCATATTCCAACGTCACGACTTGTAGAGCGAGGAGAAAATCGTCGTTCCACAAAGCGGCTTTTCGACGTTACCAAGCGGAGCCTGGTGGAAATATTGTTTTTTTTCAATTAGGTGTTCCAGATGATGAGCCATCATGTTATGCAAATCGCCACCATTTCATTTCCCGATTCGACTATGACGGAAAGCGTAAAACGCTCCACTCGCAGAGGGACTGGAGGCGGCCGGTCTAAAACAGGTCCAGATCTCGGTTACCAGGCGGCCCGGTGACGTGAGACTAACTGACGCTGACGGACGAGGGCACGGAGAACCGTCGTAAGGTGTGGTGTAAGTGGGGTAGGGTGTGCCTACCACCAGGTGTAACCCTACGCAAACGGTAGATCGCCTTGGAACGCTTTTGAGGACTGTTGTTAGATCTTGGCAGCCAGAGCAGGTAGACGCGTGCCAATAGCTGTGTGACGTAGGTGATGCGTCTATCAATGAACGGTTTAGTAGTAAAAGTAGGTCTATCAATCATTAAGCGATCCCAGCACCGCCTCACCGATAGATGCGCCATTAATAGAATGCAAAAATAAAAACTTCACGTTTTCCAAAACCGGCCTAAAATGCATCCCACTCTGGCCTAAACCGAGTTGGACCGGGCCGTGAAGGCTGCATACGAGCATGGACAAGCTTATTGAGGCAACATCCACCAAAATCAGCAGCGTTTCCAAATAATTTTGCCACAGGCACCAAAGTAGGAACGAAAATTCCTGTTTCCTGCTGGACACCAAAACATGATCTTTTCCAACTTCGTTTAACCTCAACCATGAAAACTGTCAAACAAGTGACTGACCCAAAGCTACCCATTATTTCAGTCTGAGACGTTTATGGCGTAGATGCCAAAACTTTGGTTCTCTTTTGCCTGTCCACCCCAGGAAAATAGAGTATTCCAACGCATTGATAGCTCCCATTGGTGTGAATTCGCAAACATGACAGGTTTCATTCACGGGTAGTTAGGTATCAACCGCATGTTAGCAATGACTCTCGTGGCCACCCCGCATGATCCATGCCAAAAAAAGGTATCATGCCGCCCACTTGAGCAAGGGTGGAATACTGGGCGCCACTGAGGTGTGGGAAACAGATATCTTTCAATGGGTGCTATGTTAACCTCTACGGAAACCATCCAGTAGAAGTGCTGTAAAGAGAGAAGCACTAGCAAGGGGAATGTAACGATAGGAACCAGATCACGCTACAATTTTAGAAGCATAAGAACGTTTTTGATGGATCTTTGATGTTGGAAAACTGAGATCTTAGCAGGCTTTTGATTGAAGTTGACCCTGCAAAGAGCCAAAGGTTTCTTCTGCAGCCAAAGCATTGCAAGTTGTTTGCACATCCAGCCAATGAAAACGTCGCATCCTTGAATGCTGCAGCGGTGATATGAGTCACTGCCAGGTGTTTTCGCCGAAAGCCCCCGAATGCAGTACAGACGGCGTAGAAAGCGTGGTGCTCAGTCGAAAAACATGCCAAGTCTTCCATTAACCGCTGCCCAGTCCGTCAAACAGAGCTGCGCTCTGCCAGCCGCGCCTTTGTCTCCCGATTCCACCAATATCCGGCCCTCGCCCGTGGCAAACCAGTGGCGACGAGCAATTACGGCTGACAAAGCCCCGGGCGGCGCGCGCTCCCAATGAGCTTGACCCTGACCCGCTCGGGCGGCCGGCGAGGGGGAGGGGCAGACGCCGTATACGGCGGGCCGGCGGCGGGGGCGGTCAGTGGGCCGGCGAGGCCGCACCGAGGGCGCTCGCGGAGAACGGGACTACTGCGTGGACGCGCCAGCCCGCGCCGACGGCGGGCGACGGACAGGTGACGAGCGACCCAGGTCAGTTCGCGGTCGGTGCAGACCCGTCACCGACCGCCGGTGTCCTCCCGCGTCGACGGCGGGCGACGGACAGGTAACGAGAGACCCAGGTCAGTTTGCGGTCAGTGCAGACCTGTCACCGACCGCCGGTGTCCCCCCGCGTCGACGGCGAGCGACGGACAGGTGACGAGAGACCCAGGTCAGTTCGCGGTCAGTGCAGACCTGTCACCGACCGCCGGTGTCCCCCCCCCCGCGTCGGACGCGGTCGCGGTGATCACCCCGCATCGTCTGTGACCTGACATGTCTTGTCTTCATGACGTAAGAAATGGAGAGCCACTGTGAGTGGATGTGTTGAGAACATGGGTCTGGTGGCATGGGTCTGGAGAAAGTGGCTCTGGAAGCCATCGGCTGATGCTGGGGCGAGGTTGGACGCGTTGGGCTCAAAATTATAGCCGAAAGCATGTTTCTCCATGCAATAAGAATGGCCAGGCTTCCATTGCCTGGTAAGCGCTGTCAAATGGAACAAAGTTTTCCAATTTTGCGCTTTATTTTCCAAGCAGCCTCACACGACGCGCACGGCTGACTAGCTGGGGCAGTTTTAGTTCACCGTTCTAACTTCGTAACCGATCAACTGATTGCGCAGATTCAAATGGCCTGCGGCAGCTCTAAACTGGCGCAGGTCATGTGAAAAATACATTCATGGTGTCAATAGATGAGTTAGCCAGTTAAAAAAGGTTTTTGAAAAAATGGGTAGGTTTGCAGGTAATTTTGCATTTACTGCTCATAACCGTTTTGGCAAAAGCATATAGCTAAAATATTAATAGCATCTATGGCCTGTTCATGATCTATCATCTATCTATCAACTATCTCCTGGTTCCTCCAAACCTTTCTCCTGGTTCTTCGACGAAAAATAAGGTTAACAATGCTGTCTCATGTGCGTGTAAAGATCGCCGCCGCTGTACTTGCAACTTCGTGAATTTGTCAGTTATGAGCATGAAGTGTACGTGTATGCAGCGAATCACTAACTTACCTCTTCTGACCAATTGGCCTAAGGTAAATGGGTTGAGGGCCCATATTGTTCATTTGACATGTGAAGGCCCATATTATTTATCTCACTCATAATGCGATGGTATTTAAGGAAGTGCTCTAAAGTTGTATGGGTTTTAAACAGAACGGGCCATCTTGAGGATCACTTGGTGCAGCTCAAGCCCTGACCTTCTTAAGACATAAACCTCTCTAGTTTCTGAGCTACACGGCCGTAAGGATGTGCATACCGTTTCGAGGCGACTATTTCAAGGTCACCGAGGCATTTATGCCGCCATAATAACGTCATTAAAATTTTGTCATTCCATTGGCCATGCGCCTATTCAGGCCAAGAACAATATGACTGCTGATTTGTTCATGTCTGGCGTTCGTGAGCACGATTTCCAGATATAACGGCCGTCAATTGGTCCTCAATCAATGTTGTGAAGGTGCGATGATGCAATCAAACAATGACGTATTGGGGAGCATATTCACTTAACAGAGAAATTGTGATGTGTAGAGCAGTCTTTTCTACGGGTAAGTATACCGATAGTTAAAAGTGAGCTTATTTCATCTTATCTGATGGCTGTTTTGAAATCTTGAAATGTGGAACATTCCCTTTAACGATTTTGGAGAGTTTGCTGTACGCAGTCTGAGAGAACTGGCTTCAAACTTCGCATATATAACGGAAACATACACATATCCATAACCATCGTAACAAAATGTATTCTCCCATACCTAAGCCCGGGTGACCCAGCATCGCCTAGCCGGATTTGTGAGGAATAAATCTGTGGGTCCGAGACGGTGTTTGCGTGAGCCTGCCCTTGCACTTTGAAATAACGGTATGGAATAACAGCAAGATGACACATCGGACAACCATAAACGGCTTCACCGATCCAATTTATGATGTCATTATGGTTTGCCCTAGGTTAGCTTCTGGCCGTTGTAAATCTCACATAAACTTATGTGTACCATCACATCACGTTTCACCACGGTTACCGAAAGTTTCGGGTCGCTGTCCATTGGTCTGTTATCGCATGGGAAACATGTGTGGGCAGAAAAACTTCCAGTAACTCTCGAGTAATCGCACCAGTGACAATGACGCGTGACAGGAGTCGGACAATGCAGTCTGCGGAGTAGCCGCCAGAGCACCACCCACGCAGCCCTTCCACAGCCGCTGCCCGAGCGGCCAGCCCGCCCCCCAGACCTCGCCCCCGATCCCGTCTGGCCGCCGCCTGCGCGCCGGCCGTCCTGATTCCGCACGCCCCCAGGGCACACCGGCGCGCCGTCAGTCGGCGCCGGGCGCCCCGCGCGCCGACGCGTCGTCACCGCAGCACCGCTGCGAGAGGAAGCGGCGGCGGCGCGGCGGCGGCGGCGGCGGCGGCGGCGGAAGCCCGCGGCTCCGCCCCAGGCCAGTCTGCGTGAGGAGGTCAGGCGAGCGGCGGCGGTGCGGCCCCGGCGCGGCGAGCGATGGAGAACGTCACGGCGGAGGCGTCCGCGCCGCCCATGCACGAGGTGCCGCTGTTCGCCGACTACCCGGCCGGCCTGCTGCAGTTCGCCTCCGCCTTCTGCGTGCTCTACATCGTGGTGGGCATTCCCGGCAACGTCATCACCATCGCGGCGCTCAGCAGGTATAAGAAGGTGAGTACCGCTGAGTGCCGCCGAGTGCCGCCGAGCGCCCCACTCGTCTACCGGTTGTCTGGCGATAAGTGCAGCTGCGCGTGATGACGCATGGAGAGGAAGGGCCGGCGATAGGGCGCAATATCTGAGAGCAAGGGACCGCTGTTTTGTCGACAGTGAGCTACCTCTGCCCTCTCAGAGCACCGATCTCGAGCCGCGGTCTCGCGATCTCGGCGCGATCTCAGCGTCGTCTGTTAATTTTCTTCGGATTTTCCACAAAAACGGGCTGTTTCGCACTAGGTCTGTTGATCACTGTAGGGCGCTATCGCTTTCGCTTAGGCGAATTCTTTCGCTGTGGATCTGTGAAAGGAATGAAAACAATGACCACTTTTGATGATAACGACGGCGCTCGTGTTTCACAAATACGTGCTAGCTCCGCTGCGTGTTCCAAAGAATGACCGCATCATGGCTGTATTTAGCACAGTATGTTCGGACTGCACAGTGTTTTGCCATTGAGCGTTGGGTTCGGGCAAGGGCGTGCATTTACGTGCTCAAATCGTGTGCAGTCTTGACACATGGGCTACTTACTGGATATTAATTTTGCCAAGGGTATTTCGCCAATGGCTGTTTGCAATAATTTTTGACACAAAATTTACCAACTCGCCCAAGGCACGACACTGTTGAAGCGTGAAACTATCGCTAAAATGTGTGCATATTTTGATTAAGATCGAGCGTGGCACGACTTCCCGTGCTGATCTGGCGGTGACGCATGCTGTCCGTCAGATGGCACTGTGCAGCTGGCACGTATTTTACGGCATCGGCTGCTGAATCAGCGAAAAAAGTCATGTGGCTGATACCTTAGACATAAACGCGTAAAGCATTAAGGTATGCAAATATGGAACAATCGTCTCAATACAAAACACGCAAAGAAGCCGAAAATGGTGAAAACTGAGTCCGTGCACTTATTTGGTTTTCTCATAGAGGCGCACGGAAGTGACTATCAAACGGTTCCGTGCCCCTCAAATGGCAAATTATCTTGCCCAATACATCTGGAGCAACGCAAAATAGAGTGCGTGACGTCACATTTTGCACTACTCTACCGCAATCCAGCACCAACAGGCGTCAAAAACAAGCTAGAAAGGTGCCAGGGTCTGAGCTGACGCTCCCTGACGGGGTTCCGTGAGAGCCGCCACTACCGTCTCCTGGAGGCCGGGCCTCCTCATTACGACACTTCTGTGCGCACGCCTGCTTTCTGGTACATCACACGCCCGTGCGTGCGGATGTTAGCTCTGACCCGCTTGTTTTGCAATCGTCAACCTTTTCGTCTCGCTCGCTGCCTTGATCTGCAGCCCAGTGTGTGTGAACACGTACGATTGGCTGACCTTGTGTGCGTGTGCGCGTGAGCGTGTGTGTGTTGTGTGTGGGCGTGCGTCAGCGTGGGGGAGGGGGTGGGGCGCATCCATGTGGCCACACACCAGGCTCTCGCCCGAGCTTGTGTCGCAACGCCGTTGGTCTGCTGACCTGTGCTTGTGTCGTACGAGCACAGGTGTCTCAGCAAGTGTCGCACGTCCGTGGCGCGTGTTCCTGCATGTGATTGAAGACGTTGCCGTTTATTGTGTTTGAGGTCTTTTGGATGTGGTGTGCGAAGGTCATGCATGCAGCGTGTCATAGATGTGTAGTCCACATTGCTGCTCGTTAGACATGGGCATGTTGTCAGGGGAGGGCAGACTGGCAACGACGGAATGCAACAAAGGTCCAACTTAGCTCGAAGCACCCTGTCAAAAGGCTGGTGCTACGGATGAGTTTGGTGTGGAAACGCTTATCAATACATAGCCGGCTATAGATTGTCACCACTTTACCAGCCGCTGGCTGCCAATACGTCGCCATTTATTGAGTCTTTGCCAACTGGCAACTGTCACCACGTTACCAGCTGCCGGAGCCGTCACCACACTACCAATTATCCGCTGCACCACGCCTCAGCCGTTGGCTGTCGCCACTTCACCAACTATGCGCTGTCACCAGCCGCCTGAGCTGTCACCAGCGGCGCCTGCCGGCCGACCTTTTGGCCGGCGGCGGTGTTTTTGCGCCCCCGCAGTTAGCAGCTCGGCGAGCCGTTTGGCCGCTGGGCTAATTCCGCGTGGCGCCGCACCGCGACGGTGCCGGCCGACGGAGACTCGGTGCGCGGGTCAGCAGCCGTCCGCCCAGCCGCCGGGGCGGAGGACCGAGGGCGAGGCGACGGCAAGCGGACGCCCGACGCCCACTTCAGCCGCTGAGGGCGAGACGACAGCGAGCGGGCGCCCAAGGGTCAGCAGCCTCCGCCCAGCCGGCGGGGGCGGAGGGCTGAGGGCGAGGCGACAGCGAGTGGACGCCCCACGCCCGCTTCAGCCGCCGGGGGCGAGACGACAGCGAGCGGACTCTCCGCGGGTCAGCCGCCGGAGGCAGAGGGCCGGGGGTGGGACGACACCGAGCGGACGCCTCGGTTTCCTCAGAACACCGCGGTCTGGCAACGGCGCCGGGGTTACGCGCGCGGCGGTGGTGGTGAAGAAGGCACAGGATACGGCCTGGCTCATAGGGGTGACGCGCGCGGCGGCAGCGGTGTAGAAGGAACAGGAGACGGCATGGCTCGGAGGGGTGACGCGCGCGGCGGCAGCGGTGTAGAAAGAACAGGAGACGGCCTGGCTCGAAGGGGCGACGCGCGCGGCGGCAGCGGTGTAGAAGGAACAGGAGACGGCATGGCTCGGATGGGTGACGCGCGCGGCGGCAGCGGTGTAGAAGGAACAGGAGACGGTTCGGCTGGCAGCAGGCGTGGCGTGTTCTGCTTACTGACTGTCTATGGCCGCACGAGTTCGAAGGTGCTCTGAGGATGCTATGATGTAAACCACTGAGCAGTTAGACAGTGATTACCATGAGACACTCAATAAACATCCCACCCACAGCGTCTAAACTTTGTCAGTGATTACATGCAGCCCGGCTCTCCGTCTAACTAAGACTCTGCCAAGCTCATTATTATTCCAAACCGTTCTGCATGTCCATAAGTCCTTTCACGTTATCAGAATATTGAAAAGCTTTGTTTGTGGTCTAATAGCACGCGATGGCAGTCAAAACTCGTCTCGAGAGAACAGGGGCGCATACCCCAGGGGTTATGTAGCATCTCCGGGGACTTGCGTTGCCTGCAGTAATAAATACTGGATCAAAGCTAGAATTTCTGCTGAAGCACGTGGCTGTATCCTCCCCTGCAGCATTGATTCCTCCATTTCCGAGTACACGTCCATTGCTTTAAGCTAAGAGCATAACTCCAGTTTACTGCCATTTGGGCCGTCAGAGCTCTTGCGACCCGTCGTCGAGATAAGGTTAAAGTGATGATCTAGATCTTTTAATCTCAGAAAAATCGCAGCAAAGTGCAGATCGACCTTGTGTAGATTTGTCGGATGAGGTTAAAATGGAACACTTCCCCCGAGGATTGGCAATCTGGAGCAGCTTACCCGGGCGAATAAATCACGTGATCATGACTGTGTGTGTCCTTGAATCAGAATTGACTGAAAATATATGTATGGGGAGAGAAGGGGTACCCGCTCTATGAAAATGAGGTCACAAAGCGTGTGTGTTGACCTTCCTCGGACTCCTTTCATCACGTATCAACACTCACCGCGGGGGCTCCCAGAGCCGTGGACTTGCGCAAAAAATCACTCCCCGCGCGAAGCAACTTCGTTGCATCGTTCGTTTACCTTTTCCCGTCGACGGCTCAAACAAATGCCGCCGCGCCCTGTCTCGCCTGGCGCCAACCGGACGAAAGTGGCGCGTCTCGGACGAAAGCGGCACCGGCAAAAACGGCGCGGCTGAGCGGTCCTGCAGCGTCCGGTTACGAGCGCCGAGAGCGGCGGTGGCCCGGAGACGATCCATTATCAGCTGGGCTGCCGAAAAAGCGGCCTCGCGCCCGGCATTGTCCGGGACGAGCGGCGGCTGGAGGCGAGCTTGCCGACCGCGCAGGGAGTGGCTGAGCGGCGGCTGGAGGTGAGCCTTCCGACCGCGCAGGGAGTGGCTGAGCGGCGGCTGGAGGCGAGCTTACCGACCGAGCAGGGAGTGGACGAGCGCCGGCTGGAGGCGAGCCTGCCGACCGTGCAGGGAGAGGACGAGCGGCGGCTGGAGGCGAGCCTGCCGACCGTGCAGGGAGAGGACGAGCGGCGGCTGGAGGCGAGCCTTCCGACCGCGCAGGGAGTGGCTGAGCGGCGGCTGGAGGCGAGCCTGCTCTTCCAGGATAAACGCCTACGTTGTCGAGCGGAGCTCGTTCGCACCCAAACGAGCCTGCTCTGCGGAGGAGGGGAACCTTGCGCTCGGAGCCGACCGGAACGGAAAACTCCGAGCAGCAAGCCGTTCTTTCGGTCAGAGAAACTGCTCATGCAGACAGTTATTCCGCGTGTTGTCCTGGAAAGTGTGATGACAGAAGGGTTCATACTTTCGAGCGAAGCGGAATACCTACTCAGCTACCCAGTAAAAATCAAGAGCCTTTGTGGTGCATGGTGATTATCCAGCCTTATTGATCTATTATTATATACTCTAATATCAGCTAATTTATTATTTTTCAAGTCGGAGGAATTTGATACCTTAAACACAATTCGGTACAGGACGTGCGGCATAATATTTTTAACAGGCTCTCGGGCGGGGTCAAGTTGACCCCCCCGAGGGGTTTCCGGAATGGTTTCCGAACGGTGCGGTGTGGCCGCTCCCAATTTTGCACAGATGTAGGCAATGGAATAGCGGATCGTGCGGTATCAACAAATTGGATGTACCTTGTCAGGTTGTGGATCTACGACCGGTTGAAGTCGGACCATGGATTCAGCAAAATCAATTTCAAGGGAATCGTTCAATCTGATGGAAGAACGGAGTGTTAGACGAAGCCATACGTCTCTGAGATGCTTTCTTAGGCAACATAACAATTGAATGACCAAATCATATCGACCTATGGTCAGATATGAAGGTCAGGCCAAGGTCGAGACTAACCTGTTTTATTACTCTATGGCTTG